AGAGAATTTGCCCTTAATAGGACTAAAAACGTTTGTAAATTCCAAAATGGGACTGTCATGTTTTTAATTCCCAAAATGGGACTAATTACTGTCATGTTTTGGCAGTATCAGACTTTAAACATGGCAGTATTTTCCAAACTTGACAGTAATTACTCCTATTTTGGGAATAAAAACATGACAGTCCTATTTTGGAATTTACATACGTTTTTGGTCCCATTTCAGGAACTTTCCCTAAAATATATATGGTGCACCAACAGAGTTCACACACTAACCTTCCATCCCATGCTTTGATATGTGTTGGCATTTAATTTGTTCAATATTCTAGGTCCATGCTTGGAAGTCCATCCATTCACAAACTTCACCTTTTTAGCAGTCCGCTTCATTGTGGCAGTTCGAATGTCTTCTAACATGGGAATTATTGGCTTGCACCTAGCTTTTCGGATTGTGTTATTAAAAGCTTCCGACAGGTTGTTGTCCAGGATATCACATTTCACTGCCGTTCTGAAATACGCTTTGCACCAGCAATGAGGGTCATAGAGTTCCAAATAACCCTTTGCTGTAGCATCAACTTTCATCAACGCCTTCATTTGTTCTTCAAAATGAGTTTCATTTGTGCTTCTGGCGCACAACCAAAAATGTTTTTTAAGCACTTTTCCCCCTGTGCTTCTTACTCCAATTAGCATATATATGTCTACAACAATTTCTGTGCTCTGAATTCGGAAAAACTTCCTTTATGACCTTCATTAAGCCCTGTAAACAATTTGTAAAGATGGGTTATTTAAAACGTCAAAATTCAGACATAGTAATCACTTATTAGTGCTTTCCACACAACGGGCTGAGTTTCAGCATGCTTTATACCTAGGTAAGGACCACTTATAACTGCTTCCTCAGGCTGGATAGCTAAACTAGAAAGTGCAGGGGTCACTGATTAGTATACTAGAGGTGAAAGCCTAGTATATTGCATGGCAACAGTTCTGATATGGTGCACCCAGTCCAACAACAATGAAAGGCATGAAATGTAGGATCATAGATGCTCCATGTTTAGTTGTGAAACTTTAATTTGATACTTTCAGAGGTGCACCCAGTTAAACATTCATAATTGACACTTTGTTTAGTATAAACTTACTTTAAATTGGCACTTTAGTTTAGATTTAGTAATTTTACGTTTTAAAACTTAAAACAGTAACTCACTTTTAAATTTATACCTAAAATTAACTAAATTATAAAGTTAGTCCATACCTTCTGCTGATCACTCATCAAACTCCAATGAAATGTATTGTTGATGTCAAGATCCTCTTTCAGCAACTCTAGAAACCACCTCCACGAATCAGTATTTTCAATCTCCACAACAGCCCATGCTATTGGGTACATTTCATTATTAGCTTCCCTACCCACGACACTTAATATTTCACCTTTGAGCATCCCTATAAGTAAACTTCCATCTAAGCCAATGATTTGGCGACAACCAGATAAAAAACCCATTTTAAAGCTCCAAAACAAACATACATTCGTTGAAATACCTCAGGACCATCTTCTGTCACCCTCTGTGTTTTTACAATGATGGTGCTCCCTAGATTAGACCTCAAACACTCAGCTCCATAGTCTCTAACTCTTCTAAACTGATCCCCAAATGATGCATTAGTTTTTTTAATACTCTGACAATGACTCTTTTTACCTTTGTGATATTCACACTTATTTTCATGTCATTCCGTATTTCCTTTTGCAATTCAACTTGGCGTATGCATGGGTTTTCTCTGATTTTGTTCTCATACTTTTCTTCAAGCCAGGCTTGACTTACTATCTTCAACTTGAATTTGTCATTGCATCTGTGTGTACCCGCCCACATCTTAATCTGAAAACAATGGTACTGCTTTGCCCATGAAGCCGTGCATCTGAAAGGACAATTAACAGAACATGCCACTTGAACTCTCATGGGCCATTCCTTACCCATCTAAAATCCTGCTTAAAATGAACTTCATAATTTATTATAATAGTTTTGAACTCCCTTGCATCTTCAAACAACATATACAACTCAAGGTCTTTGGAATCTGAATTTCGATTGTATGATGGACATTTCAATTTCTTCTTCACTTTTGAATCCACCGGATTGCCCTCTTCGTTTTCAGAATCTAAGTGCAAACTAGGGGGGTCTTCAGAGTCATAATACTCACTACATTCTTCCTCACCGTCAAATTCAGACTCTAAACTTGTCCATGTACCCTTACTGTTTACCCAATCGCTTTGAGCCCTTTTTAATTGCTCATCGTTGTCATCGTTTAAATCTTCTTCGCCCTCTAAGGAAGCTTGATCATCATCGGATGACATGTCTTCTTCATGGTCTTCACCTTCTCCATTTGGTATTACCTCACTGTCTTTTTCTTCTTCATTCGTGTCTTTACACTCACTGTGATGGTCTGCCAGAACCCTTGATGAAATGCCATTTCCCCCCACAGTTAATGATGCAGGCGACCCTAAGTGGTCAACAAGTTCAGGTTCATCAATTCCGTGCTCCACATACACTTCTACTTCTCCGTAAGCAAATGCCATCTCAATTAGTTGCAGATAGGGTTGTATACGAACCGAATCGAGTCGAATAATGAGATTTTGTATTTGTTTAATTTTTTCGAATACGAATTCGAATTCAAATATGCAACGAATATTAATTTCGATTTGTATTTGTATTTGTTTAACAATACGAATAGTTAACGAATTATATACGAATATCGATTTGATTTGATCATAGGTTAAATAAAAGTCAAATACGGAGTATCGATTTAAAATATCTTTTAATTTCTTATACTCTGGATTGTTTATGTTGTAAATGCATGCTATGACTTAATATGTGTTTTTAGAATTTAAATTTAATGGATCAATGCATTTTTAGATGGTGCACAATATACTAAAGTGAATTATTTTTATGATTAATAAATATAAATCTACTTCAAACCTTTTGAAATAAACACTAACACACACATATTAGAAATTATACTTATAATGTGTGAAATAAGTTGATAATTGTATATATCAAAGTCAAACAACTCTAATTTTATTCTTCAAATCGAATACATAATTATTTGTATTGTATTTGAAAAACATTTGAACAAAAAAAATTGATTTGTATTCATATTTATATTCCGGTTTATTACAAATAGGCTTGAAATTTGTATGCAAATATATATATATATATATATATATATATATATATATATATATATGGGCTACACTTTGAGGGTATTGCTATCTTTTAAAAGTTATTATAGTGTTATTACTATTTTTATTAATATTGATATTAATATTACCATTATTATTAATCGAATATATTTGATTAATATTCGAATCGAATACACTGATATTCTTATTTGTATTTGAGAACAACTCGAATCAAATTTAATATTCTTATTTGTATTTGTATTTGAATTTTTCGAATTCGAATCGTCTTATACGAATTCGAATCGCGAATCGAGCACAAATTATTTGATTCGTGTACAACCCTAGTTGCAGAGTAGTAGCATCATCACATAATGGTCTTAACCTGTGTAGACTCTCGTCGGGCAATTTAAATGTCAGTGAATCCATTTTTTTTATACATATCCTCTGTGATGTACTTCATCAAGTGAGGGTATGAAATCATATCTGGATCTAGAACAATACTCTCAACAACACCATTTACATATGCAAGATCTGGCATTTTCTTGAAATTCCCTCCATATATGGTGGATTTTCAACTCAGCTTCTAAAAACATTCTGAAAATGAAAACACTGATAGATTGAGTACTGAAATAGATAACTAATCAAATTTGTAAGAAACTCTATAATTGCAATTTATTGAACCTACTCAAACATATCAGGCTTGTAAACCACATATAATATGTAAATTCTGTAGATATTTTTTATTGAAAGGTTTGACAGCCCACTATTCAAAAGAGCATAATCCATAATTTTCTAAAAAGTAAACCATTCCATATTCCAGTGTAATGAAATTTACATCGTTAGTAATGAAATTTACTAAACTATATACGTTAAGGAAAAAACAAAGCAATGAAATTTAGGAGTTCAGATGCAAATTCCTCAGATACTAAAATATATTTCACCTTAACAAATCAGTAATATTGAACATAGTAAATTCAGAACGTGTACAACAAATACATAAAGTTTAATGATGAGCATTCTTAGTCTTCATCTGCTCCTAGTGTTACTGTTGCTTTTAATTTAGCCGGTCAATAGCAAAAACGATTATACAAGTACGGAAGTACCAATAGGCATGTGGTATTATATTACTATAAGCTAGATAAAGAAATAGAATATACAGTATATGATATGATTGGCAACTAATCTAACATCAAACCTTATTCTTTCGTGTGCTGTCACCATTCTTGTTGCCGGCTTCCCAAGGCAAGATTTAAACGCAAACGAACGCACCCAGTCACATCCCAAGCGGCAAAACGAAAAACTCACTCTCAATCATCGTCCCCAATAGTGGATTCCGTCTTTCTCCAAAACCCTAGTCGCAGACTCACAGTCAGATTGGATATCGATCCTCTTATTTTCTTTAGCAGGTATGTCTAAGTTAGGCTGACTATGCAGCCGATATGGAAAAAAAGCCACATTTACTAAAATAAGTGCTAGGTAAGCGGAAACCGGAATTAGATGGTCTTTAGCCGGTCATTATGCCTGATATGGTCGTTTTTCTAAAGTAAATGCATGTTGGTGACACTTTTATGACTAGATGGCCTTATATAACGGTTTGAGAAAAGTAGAAGGCCTTATCTAATCCTTTTCTCTATTTATGTCGATGCATTATCCATGAAGCTTCCCTCCACTACAAGGAGCTAACCCCACTCATTCATACATGAGTCTTCATCAAGTCTCCTCCGTATATACAACCAATAATTAAACTATATCTAAATTAGGTGCTTAAAAAATATTTCTAGATTAGTTATTCTTTCTGGTACTTTTAAAAATATTTTTGAAACAAAATTTATGAAAAAATGTGATAATAAAGTTAGTCTGTCGCAGTCCGGTAGTGTTTCAAATCGAAAGTGTTACTAGTACATTTCTTTCTTTTGAGAAAAAATGAAAACCTACAAAATCGAATGATCAAATCGGATACACAGCAAAAAGTGCTGTGTATAACTGCTGCTCACTTCATTACGTTACTGAAAATTCAAAATCCTCTAGAGGTATAACTGAAAGGCGTAGTTATAGGTGCCCTTGCCTGTCTCTGAACCTCCGGTACGGCAGATGAGTTCGGCGGATTCAATAAAGACACTGTTGGCGGCTAGCGGCGGCGACACCGTGAAGCTCTTTGACCTCTCGTTGGAGCCGCGGGATACCTGCATTCTCACCTACACTCCCACGCCGGGATTGCAAGTTAACTCTGTCAAGTGGAACCACACAAGTCGGTACCTTTAACTATTTGCTCGGTTTCTTCACCATTCGTTTTTCAAAATTTCTTCACAAGCACCCGTAATTGGGTCTGAATTTGGGTTATTCCAGATTTGGTGGTAGCAAGTGCCGGGGATGACAAAAAGATTTCTCTATGGAGAAAGAATGGACAGTCAATGGGAACTATTCCGGCATCAGGCAGCGATGGCGGTGATGGTATCGAGGTAATTTTTGTTGGTTCTGTTTGTTTCCAGATCAGGTCTGATAATGTGAAATGCTGGAATTTAGCTTGTATATGCACTTAAAAAATGTTACGTTTCCTAATTCGGTGCCAATAAATGAAAGATTGCCTGTGGCAATGTGGTTAGGGGCACTTTTCGGGCAGCTTATGCATTTTCACTTTTAAGCGCAATTTGAAGAAACTTTTATTTCTAAAGCAAAGAATGTGTGTGAAAAAGAAATAGAGAAAGGAGAAATGGGTGAGAAAGAGAGATATGATGGATTTTGTTTGTTCATTGTTAGGCGAGAGATTGAGAAGAGGTGTGTAGAAAATGAGAAGGAATGCACTTCTTTCCTAATTCCCCACATGATGGAGAAGATTTAAGAAGGATGCGCGACCCTGCATTTTTTTTTCTTGCCCTCCTATTTATCTTCCCATCAAACAACTAAAAATTTCCATTTCTTTCCTATTTCTTTTCCGTCTATTTCTTTCTCTCCTATTTCACCTGAACCAAACAAAGGCTTATAGCGCAGTATGATGCAGGAGTTATAGGCTTATGTAGATGTTTGAGCTGTGGTAGGCAGTTTCCTTTTTTCATGCTTGGGATTGGTCAACTCTTGACATTTTGTTTTGAGTAGTAGGAGTTATAACAAGCATCTGGCACAGAGCTTGATTGTAATCATACAAAGAAGCTTTTGATGTACAACTTTTGTGCAACTAATTTCCCCCCCCCTATATTGAGACATTGAGTAAATTTGTTTAGTCCATTTCCTAGAATTTTACTGTTAATATGTGTAAGTATTAAGAACACATTTCCTCTATTTTGTACATCATATGGATGTCACTGCAGGAATCCTTCACGACCATTAATTTTAATAACAAAGGATCAAGGTATCTTTGTTCTGGAGGAAGTGGTCAAGTTGTTAGAATATGGGACTTGCAGCGGAAAAGATGCATTAAATGGTTGAAAGGTCACAGCGATACAATAACCGGTGCAATGTATAACTGCAAAGATGAGCACTTAGCTTCTGTTAGCCTTAAAGGTGATCTTATGCTCCACAACCTTGCTTCTGGGGCTAGAGCTGCTGAACTCAAGGATCCTAATGAGCAGGTTCGTATTAATGAAGTTCTTGTAGAAACTGGAAAATATATCACTTTTGATTTCGCAACTCTTAAGGCCATTCTCACCTTTTGTGCCTGATGTTCAGTTTTCCCGCATTGCCCAACAACTACGGATTCTTGCCGCTTTTGGTACTTTCTGGTCACTTATATAGTTACAAAAATCAACTGGAGGTTTTATGTAAGTTAGCCTGATGAGTGATTGGAAGCACAAATATGGCAAAAAGTTCTATAGTTCTAGGCCATAAGTGCTAACAATGAAATTCAGGGACCAAAAGTGAGAATGGCTTATTAGTCATGGAAGTAAAATTGGAGTACTTCTTTTGAAATACTATCTTCTGAAGCTTTTGATGATAATCTCAGTTTCTTTTCTGATGCATTAGATATTATTTCGATTACTTGTGACTAGGTTTTGAGAGTGCTTGACTATTCTAGGATTAGTAGACACCTGTTGGTTACAGCTGGTGATGATGGATCTATTCATCTTTGGGATACAACTGGCCGCAGCCCTAAGGTTTGTATTATTGACAATTTGATACATGTTCATCTCAGTATTTCCTTAATCATACAAGCACATCTAAATCTAAGGCCTTGTCCGTTTCAAAATTGAGGAGGGATGAAAAATGATGAAAGGGCAGGGGCTAAAATGAAGGTGTTAAAAAGTTGATTGTGTTTGGTGTACTGGAGTGGAGGGTCGGATGTACGCAGTCTTACCCCGGTACTAAAGCACAGAGACAGTTTCCGGATGACCCATAGTGAAAATTGTGTTGAAAATTGCATTAACCGACTGTTGCTTCATAACAAAGAAGCACATACAGTTTAGTAAACCATTTTGCTTTATTCCATCGTATTCCCAAGCCAAAAACTAATGAGTGTTTTTGAATAAATATGTAAAGAAGTTTGATTTGATATAAATTTTTGTTGTAACACTAATACTGTAGAAAAATATATAGACCTACATGCATAACACTAGTAATGTAGAAAAGTTTCGGTAAAAAATTTCAAAAAAACAACTCTGGCAAATTGGGGAAATGAGATATGAGTGTGGAGGTCTTTATATCTCTAGTTCCTTCCCCTCTTCCCTGTGCCCCTCCTCGACCAAATCTTCCAACCAAAGAATAAGGAATTAAAGGTTTAATCACATCTTCCTAGAGAAGTTAACACTATTTTCTGGGTGACTTTCTCAAAAATAGTATTTTCACCACTTAGACCTTGGAATTCTTACAGCTTTACTCAAGTCTCTAGTTTTGACAACCTTATAAGTTGTAGTAAACCTTTGTGCTGTGTCTTAACCCGTGTATTGGTTACATCCTTTCAGATAATGAAAAGACATTTTGCTTGGGTGTTTCACAGGTTTCTTGGTTAAAGCAGCATTCTGCCCCAACTACTGGCGTTAGTTTTTCACCATCAAATGACAAGGTTATTTTTTCTCTCGCTTCAGACTTTCAGTTGCACATTTTACAAGGCTAGTTCATTGGGATTAAGAGAGAAGTATGATTACTCAGCTATAACTGTGCCCATTATTATTTATGTTTTTTATTCAACACTTTGGCAGATTATCACTAGCGTTGGTTTGGATAAGAAGCTCTACACGTTTGATTTAGGGTCTAGACGGCCAGCATTATGCATTCCTTATGAGGCACCGTTTTCTTCGCTTGCATATACAGATGATGGATTAACACTGGCAGCTGGGACGAGTAGTGGCCGGGTGGTAATTTATGATACTCGTGGGAAATTACAACCTTTGACTGTTCAACGTGCCTATGGAAATTCCGAGGTGATACCTTGTTCTGAGTTAATCTCTCAAGGTTAAATTAAGGATTCAATAAATAGTATTTGTGTTTATATAATTTGTTCATTAGTAATTACCAGAAACCAGCTGTTTAATTTAGTTTTATACTACTCTATTTTCAGAAGTTGAGTGTTTTCAAATAGTAGTGGTATTTTGTGAATATTTGAAATGGATAAATATGTTGGATTTTCAGAAAGATCTGGCTAATAAAGAAGGCAAAAACTACGTATTCTGTTGGTAAGCAGAATAAGACATTTAAGCCTACCAAACAAAGCCTTAAATGATAGACCATAAGCCCATTGGTAAAGTGAGAGAAAACATCTCTGCCAACCATGGAAAAAGTTGTCATGTTTGAGTCAAGCTCAATCACAGTACTTGCTTCTACAAATGACGAATGGCCACTTATACCCTTAGAATTTTACTTGAAAATGTAACTCGACTTATAAAACTGGGCCCTATTTGACTAAAAAGTTATTTAAACGTGACCTTCCATGATGCCAAAAACGTTCTTACTGTTTTGCATGGAATATTTTTACTTTTTCTTGTGTGAAAGTTCTATATATTTTTCTCTTAACCAGGCTGTCACTAGTCTTTGCTGGCAAAGATCAAAGCCCATCTTTGTAAATGAAAACAACTGCACCTCAGAGATAGCTCTCTTGGGAACTTCAGTGGAGGATTCAGTTCTAATGCCCGACCCACTTCCTGCATTCACTTCATCAACGCTTTCAACATCCACAACATTATTAGGTTCTCGAGGTACTGGGCCCATGTTAGGCACACGCTTTACCCCTGAGGAGTCACCGGTTAGAAATGATTCGTGGAAGGGTGCTGGAGGTTTGGGCAGACTAAACGCTCCCCGTTATAACGTTAAGGATGATATGGAAGTTTTCTCCCCACTTGTTGATGTTCAACCAATAACTCCCTCACTTAATAAGTTGTGGGATGAGCATGGCATTGTAAAGGACGGTGATAAGACCACAACATTTTCGTTTCCTTCTGCTAGGAGATTCCCTCTTCTAGATGAAGGTGGGAGTGATAACCCGTCAGTGTTTGATTGGAAACCTAGCTCAGTATCCACACAGGTTTTTATATTGCCTTTTATGATGTAGTTTTCCATGCATTTTCGATCGGCTCTATGTGAATGAATGGTTTTTGAACAAAAGGATTTTGAAGGTTCCGTCTATATTTTGATTAATATGGTAGATTTAAAAATTAAAGATCCACATAGTAATATGCATAACATTTCAATCACCTCTATTTCGTTTTCCTTGGAATCAAATGGTTCTGTTAGATAATATTTTTAAGTTTATGTTTGGAGAACAAATATGGTACGGAATAAGGAAAATTTAATTAAAGAATTCAAAATATCGCATAGCTTTATATTTCCAAGTCTTATATAATATAACTGTACATAAATAACATGAGTTTGGAAAAATATGTAAAATTGATTTATAAATTAGAGTATAAGACCATCATTATTTTCCCAAATTTTCTTTCTTGATATTTCTCCGCAGATTTCTCCACATTTTGTTTCTCTGGCATTCTCCGGGTTCCAAGTAGACTCTTAATGCATGCCATTGCTGCAGGATGACATCCGTTCCCTTCCACACCTGGCTTCTTCTGCTCCTTCCCAGCCGGAAGCTTCTTCATCATTAACTCCTACTCCAGAAGCTTGGGGTGGTGGTGAGAGATTTTCTGAGAGAGCCCACCTTCGTCAATCCAGATTTGCAATGCCTACTTCAAGTAGTAGCCTCCTTGCATCAGGAACATCGTTTTCTGGATTTCAAAGTACTTCATCAATTTCCAGCCTGGGATTGGATAATTTGCGTGTCAGGGAAACCTCAAAGGAAGATACTTCTTTGGGAACTGCAGTTCATGTTCCTTCAAGTTCTCCATTTTTTCAGGGCAATCTGGACTCTCTTGGTCCAGCATCATTATCAGTGCCTCGAAGGCTTTCCAGTTATGCAGAGAGAATTAGCAGTGCACCGTCACTCAGTTCACTCAGTGATGGAACTCTGTCTGTCGGTTCGCCCAAAACCAAGAAAACTGGTGCTGAAACGAGGGATGAGCTTTTACAAAGCTTATTGTCAAGGTCTGATGTTTCTTCATCACCCAAAGCAACTGGTGTTTTCCAGTCAATGAATGTAAGATTGCAAATATAATCGGCATTTCTAATGTGCTGCATCATTTTATCTTTATCCATATGTTTTCTGTTCACGCTTAGAAAAGAAAGAGTCTTCTGCGGCCTGCGGGTCAAAGTGGCTAATAATGGGACAATGTTTTCCGAAATTTCGTGGTTCAGCAACAGAAAACATTTTTCTCCATTCTGAAGTGTTAAGTGGATAACCATTCTGCGGCCTGCGGGTCAAAGTGGCTTATTTTCTTGAAAACAGAATCTAGCCATTTTTTGTGTGGTGGAAAATGATATTTCCTTTAAAATTTGAACTATCTGGTTGAAATTTATTAAGCGGGACCCATGAAAAAATTGTGAAGACTCAATGGGGCATAGGTAAAATATGGAGTATATGATTCCAAGATGTGCATCTAATAACTCTTTTATGCACATCAATAGCCTTTGCTTCAAGCATCTCATTTCTAGCCATAAATTCATGCCTATATTCCTTGTTGTGGGAAAAAGTCATTATCTTGCACCAGTTTTTTTTTTTGTTGTGTTATGCTAAATACTACGCCATTAATGTAATAATATGCATTGAATAACTTATTTTCTTGGAAAACTATCTAGCAGGAAAACATGTGATACTGATAATATTTTCTCAGTACAGTGAATTCTAGACATGCTTGAGGTCAATATTGAACAAATCTGAACATGAACCATACATTTGTTTTTGGGACAGGGCGATGTGAAGACATATATGAAAAACAACACTTCTCAGCCGGACTCACAGCAGCAGGGAAATTCATTTACCCTACAGCTTTATCAACGTACCCTTGAAGAAACTCTTGAGTCATCCCACAAATCCATTCACACGGCCATGAGAGACATCCACATTGAAATTTTAAGACAATTTCATATGCACGAGGTATGATAATTATACATACTTTATACCTAATCTGATCCCTCATTCAATTATTATGACCCCCTAAGTCCCCATAGTAAAGTTCTAAAAAATGCAAGCTAACTCAATTTAGCCTTCCTGCATATTGTGCTCAAATAACAAATAAATGTGTTTGCTTAAGATGATGACTAAATTGGATTCAAATTTCATAGCTTCTGACCAAATTGAATCCTAATTGGGTTTAAGGCAGAAATTTAGAACCTAATATGTTCTTATCATTATTATATACTACTGTAAGATAATTGAAGTCCTTGAAATTTTTCAAATTTGTGCAGGTTGAAGTGTCTGGTGTTATGAATTCAATCCTGGAAAATCAAGCAGAGATTATGAGGGAACTACGGTTACTTAGGGAAGAGACCCAACAACTCCGCCAACAATTGTTTTAACCAGTCTAAAGTTCTGTAGAAATATATCGCTCAGAGTTGTGCTTTTCCGTTAGGATATATATAGTTGTTATTAGTCAGTTGATATCCTTCAAGTGTGATTTTGAATGGGTCCACATATTCCATTAGTTAGTTACTTAGTTATTGAGAAACCATTTCGATTGCAAATTGCCAATTGTATCCGCTCTTTTTGTTATGGGCTAATGCATATTTCAGTCTTCCAACTATTGTCATTGTATAATTCCCAATGTTTTATTCCAACTGGAAGGGGAATCGAGGAACGGATCCTACAATGTAACTCGAACGGTCGAACCAATTCAGCGAGACCTTGCACTTCCGCAACTTGCAAGCAATGAATGATCAAATTTAATACATGATAAAAACATGTATAAGCAGTGTTCAGAAAGAAGTAAGACATGTTGATATGACCGAGACTCAAGTAATAAAAGTCTAGATGAGAGGTAATAGAAGCCTAGATGACTTCATATTCAGGTGTGGGATGATCTGTTTTTTACACTCAAGGTTTAAGTTTCCTAAAAACAGTGGTTGTAGAAATAACAAATATGGGTAACTTGAGAGTAACATAATACTGTACCTAGTAATAGTGATAATAGTAATATACAGTAGCAATGTAGCATATCAATACTAATTAATTAAAATAAACTAATAGTAACAGCCTGTATCTTCTAAAAATAATACGGAGTAAAGCAAGCTAAAAGGTGGGTGACATTTTGGGATGTTGAAATCACAACTCCAAAGTTTATTGTTTTCATGGCTGACATTTTACTTTCAGTCGGTCTCTCCTCCCAGCAGCACATGAACCCCCACCTGGTTTACATAACAGTGGATGAATTACAGATGCTCGATCATCAATGATCATCCGACGACCATCCACGCTGATTTTTGAAGCTTGGAGAGACTTCTTTTTTGATGCTTTTAGTTGCTCCAATTTCTTTATTATCTTAACTTGGCGCTCGTTAAACTCTACTGGTTTTGCCCTGACCCTAACTTCATTAGGATGAATTTTTGATTGAGGACGGACCACAAAATCCATTAACATGGGTTCAGGTCTGGAAGTAAGTTGCCTCCGGGCAGATGACTGGCCAGGCTTCTGCACCTGTGAAAATTCAGCCAAATCAAGGTCATCATCCCTATATTGCATTCCGGAAGCTTTATTCACTGGATTTTTCACTGGTGGCCTCCTCCTATAAGGAGACCTCTCTTCTTCAAAGTTCTTCATGTCTTCAAACCTTGTGCTCTTGTTGAATATGGGTCGACTCCATTTCTCAACCAAGTCCCTTGCAAGCTTCCGGTTACCCATGGTCTCTTCATCCGACTTCGAAAGAAACATTATCACCCTTCCAAGACCACTCTTTTTCAGCTGTTCCTTTCTATCATACTGTTCTAAATCAATTGGATAGTCCGTTAAGATCTTTAAGATTGCTGCACGAATATTTATGCTGGGCAGGCTTCCATCTGGAAGAGGCTCAAGCCAATTCTTAAGAAGTGTCAACACTCCATGGTCTAAAAACTCTTGCTGAAGTTGTTTCTTGGACAGGACATCAGTAAGAAGAGGCAGTTTTGTAAGTTTATTGATAGCAGGTTTGGACTGTCTGTTCAACTCAGCATCTTCCTCTGCAACAACTTCTAGTTCAGCCATTACACTTTCAACTAATAGTGAGATTTCATGAGCACTTTTTTCACTTTTATTCTTTTTCTTCCCCACCTTGAATAGACCCTTTATTTCATCATCCTCTTCACCTTCAATGAAGTTATCATCATCAACTGTCTTAGCACCATCTTGGTGATCCTCGGGATCGCCACCAGCAACAATGTCCCACAACTCCTTGAGCTCCTGATCATCCTCATTGGAAAGCCCCCCACTCTTCTTTAGTTTTAACTTTTTCTCACCTTTCTCCCTCATATTCTTCCCTTTCCTTTTCTCCCCACTGCTCTCCGGGACGCCATTCTCAAACCCGGTCTGATCTGGAGCGGTCTCTTTCCCACTAGACTTCTTAATCAACCCCTTCCGCGGCTTCGATTTGTAATCATCTTGAACCTCAAGATTGTCATCAAGAACGTTTTTCTGGGATTCGTAACCCATGGATGAATGTTGATTATGCTCAGAGACGGAGTAACAGTGATAGAATAGCTATAATAATACTACGTATGATCAATAGTGTTATTAACTTCTTCAAGCTATAAATATATACGAGTATATATATACTTCTAGGGCGGGATGGTATTGATATGGACCGACGTTCGAACCCTTTCCTAATATTGTCTTCAAGACTTGAAGTTCAAGTAAACAACGATATAATGATTTACTTCATTCCTATTCCTTGTCCAACACGTACACTCCAATTGCCTAAATACGATAGTATTTAACGAATGTAAGAATGGCTATATATACGTATCCATAAAAGCATGCAATGAATTCTTTAAAAAAAGAACATGCAATAAATAAATAATTAAATGTACAATCAGCCTCAAATCAACCCAAAATTACTTCAATTGTACACTAAAAAATCGGTCAATTGGAAATTTGTTTTTTCAATGTCTTCGTGCCAGGGCAAATTTTTTATTAGAGCATCCTCATTGTTTAGATTATTTAGAGATTAATTGAGTAATATTGATTAATTTCTTTGAGATTATGATTGACAAAATGAGATTATTCGAAAAGATTATTTTCTAAAAAATCTGATATCAAAATTTGAATCTAGATTATTTGAAGATTTTTGGACTAGTATTTGATTCATTCGTGTGAATCCATGGAAGAGCATTAGATATAGAAACTAGGGCTGGGCAAATCGGTTTACGGTTCGGTTTTTATCGGGTTCGGTTCGGTTTCAAGTTGTTCGGTTTGGCAAAAAATGTATTTCGGTTTGGTTTCGGTTCGGTTCGAGAAATTTTCGGTTCGGTTCGGTTTGATGTTCGGTTTATAAAGTTAAAAAAATAATGTATAATTTCATATTTTTAAGTCAACATTTACTAATTTGAAATGGTTTATTTTAATTTAAATCCAAACCAAATAAACTAAAACAAAGCAATAAAATCAAAATAGAGTTTTTTGGTGTTGTGCGTAAAATAGCAATGGTGTACAAGCAATGTGCCAACATAAATAAAATATAAGTAGTGATTTACATGTGTGCAATGAGCAAAATAGCAATGATTTAAATGGTTAATAGAAGTGGGTGAGGGCTTAGGAGTTTGGGTAGTTATGTTTCACTCCAAATCACCAAGTCACTAAACCTACAACCTCCTTAATGTATACATATAATGGACAAACACATTGTCGTATTTCACTGGTACAACCAAACTTACAATCTTCATACTGCACACATATAAGAGGCAAACATTCGGTTTGAGCAAATGTCTACCAAACAGTTTACTTAAGTAAACTCCAACCAAACCAAATCAAACCACCAATTTTAATAATATATGAAAGTTTTTTTGAGTTTCTTTAGTTCGGTTCGGTTTCTTTGGTTCGGTTCGGTTTTGAGTTTTATCGATTTCGGTTTCGATTCGGTTCAGTTTAATACGGTTTGAAAGAAATAGTACCAAACTCAAACCAAATCGCATAAGGTTCGGTTTCGGTTCAGTTTAGTTCGGTTTGGTACGGTTCGGTTAAACCAAACCGTTATGTCCACCCCGTAATAGAAACATTGGAAAGAGTGATTCCATATGCTTTAAACACCTTTTTAGTGCGATAGTTTATGGAGGCTAATTTTATGAAGTTCTGGCTGAAATGGTTGCATTGGCTGATTATGCTGATTTAAGAAAAAAATATTTTTAAAATATATTATATTAATAAAATAAAGAAAAAAATGTATGTAAAATAGCTAAAATGATCATCTACAGTAACTTCAACCAATACAGTCATAAAAGTAACTTCAACCTTACTTTTTCTTATTATTACACAGATCAACGCGCGAAAACATACGTTACATGTTAATTTTGGTGCATGTCCCACAAATAATCTGATGATGGTTGAGGTGATTTATCAAGTTTTAAAATTATTTCAGATTTTCCATGTGACAAAAAAATCCGTTTATTCTATGAGCATGAATGGAGATGCTCTTATTGATAGCGAATCTAATCTATTCAATCAAAGATTCAATTATATGACAAAATAAATACTCGGGTAAAGAGTAATTAAAATTTAAGTGGACAAGAATCAGAACGAAAAAATTTACGGTGCATGGTCGAATTTTTTAACTTTCCATCTTTGGAAAATTTTAATTTATTGATACGTTGCAGTAGACATGAAGATTTAATATACGACAATTATCACAATTTAATCTAGCAATTAGGAGAAAACTCAACATGCATGTCTTTGATTGCTCCCTTTCACCATATAAGCTAAAGGTGTTCAATAAAATGTTTTTATGAGAAAAGCATACGAAGTATTAGATTTTATATTTCATAATTGTGATATGATAATGTTTGTCTTCTGGTGTCAGTGCAGTAGCTAACCCATATCAAAGTGGCTCTGGACTAGGAGAGACAATGTAATTACAGTGTAATATTAAAAGGTACATCACAAATTTATGTGATATGGTTCTTCATTTGACAATATTGTAATTAATTAGAATAGCCTTAAGTTCTGAAATATGTTGATTTATACTCCGTATGGAACATCCATTTGTCTTATTCATTACTTTCTGTAACATTCCATTTTCGTTTTACTTTATATGGAGATTTTGGAGGTAATTGACACTCTTTTAATTTAGTAACCAAAAAGGTAATCTCTATGCCTACCAGCAGCGGCAGACGCAGGAATTTCCGGTAGCAGGGGCGGCAGTACAAACATATACATTAAAAATTTCGGGGTAAATATACCTAGAATTTTTTTGGAGGGGCAACAGCCCCCTTTGTCACCCCCCTCTGTCACCCCCCTCTGTCCGCCACTGCCTACCAAGATTCTTAACCATTCCGATTTATACCTCTAAGTTCATGTTTTAGTTTTTATCCGCTTTCGTCTTCATGAAATTTTAAATAATTAACAACTGTTAGGGTTTGAGATTACTATTGTAGATTTTGTTCTTTATGTAGTTTCATATTCCATATTTGTACTAATTGCTCTTTCAAAACATTGTAAGTCATAGGTCATTTTAAATGTTATTTTTGATATAATTTCTATTGAAGTCTATTTTATTATTTAGCAGTTATTTCCTGTCCATAAGTGTTTGAGACTTCTAGGTTCAGCTCACTGCACTTTTGACCTCTTAAATCCTCATAAGTAAATGAAAATCCAAATATGATTATTCAAACTGAAACTTTCAAAACACTCTACCTCATAAGGTGTAGTTTGAACTTCTTAAATAAATCTTTATTTGCATATTTGGGATGTAAATGGAACTCTTTTTAGTCGCTAAAAATTTAAGAATACTATTCATGTTAGATCAAACTATACTATTGATTTGGACATTATGTTTGGTTTAGTTGCAAAATGATAAGAAAACAGACGTCTTCAGTTTTGACTAATTTTTAAAGAGTCCTAAGAATACTTATGTTTCTTGATTGAAACTATGGATTTTCTGTTCAGCGATAAAGCCTTTCACTTATGATTAGTTCTTAATATTTTCACTTATGTTTCTACTTCAGCCATTCATTTCTGCTAGGACAAAATAACTGCAATATTAGAAAACGATTGCTATGTCACATCTTAGGTCTATGTGTATTTTTATGACAATTCTCACTTATTAAATTTTATGAAAACTCTCACATAAAGTTCTTGTTAATATATAATCTTTTATGTTAATTTGAAAAGAATTTTTGTAGTCCCTCTTCATATGCTTCGTGGTTTTATCCAGTTAACTGATTTTGATTTGGGGGTTTTGCCATAAATAGTACGAAGTACTAAAAATGGGATGATTGGCCAAAAAGTAACCATTTTTTAAAATTTCCAGAAATGTGATTAGTAAGCCTTAAACTTACATAAATATCCCTACTTTGTAGTTACTTTGTCTTATAGTTACATGACCCGCCACAGTCACACCCCCAAAGTGACATCCGCCGTAGTGACACCAACCCGCCACCGGTCAGGGATCGCCGCCGACCGGTGATTGTTGCCGGTCACAGTTACGGTTCCACAGTGAGTCAGTGACACGTCCATAGTGATACTTCCACGGTGATATTTCCAAAGTTACGGTCCACTGCCACCACCACAGGTCGCCGCCAACGTCGTCGGTCACCACCGCCGCCACAGGCCGCCGCCAACATCGCCGGTCACTGTCGCCAGTCACAGTGACAACTCGACATTGACAACTCTATAGTGAGCCCCAACCTCTAACCACACACCACAGTGACATCTTCGCCATCTGACCACCGCCGCCGGCCACCACCGACCACAGTGAAAAGTTTGTGGTGACATCTTTGTAGCAACAATTTCACAATGACTTACAAATTGCTCCGGCCACCGCACTCCGGTAAATTTCCACGCCACACCACATTCTACCACCACTGTCACGCCATTGCCGCATTCCACCACTACACCGCCGCACCACGTGACCCCAGAGCCGCCCAAACAACCACCTACCTGCCTAACTCGAGCCCCAACAGCCCCAACACCACCAGATCTGAAATAGGGAGGCGGATTGAAACTGATGAAGCTAGGGAACAAGAAGAAGGAAAAGGTATCGTGCAGAGAAGAAGAAGATGGCGACTCACCCTAGCCCAAAATAGGGCGGCGACGGCGGCGGCGGCGAAATTGCCACAGCCACGACCTTGACAGTGGTCAGAGGGGAGGCGTAGGAAGAAGACATGGGTGAGGGCGGCAGCGGCAGTCTATCTACCCTGTCCCAGAGGTGACGGCGACGTCTTTGCCTCTTTGGGGGTGGTGTCGTATGCTCCTGCGACGGCCTGGGGGCGGTGTTCTCTGTTTCCTACGATGGCCTAGGGAGCTCCTTGGTTGATGGTGTGTCGACTTGGTTTCAGAGATGAAAATGGGCTGGAATGAAATATGATGGGTCGAGTAAGTCTATTTTTGGGAAAAAGGAAAAGTAGTCTCTTTTTTGTATGTCACAAAACTATTAGTACTATTTGTGTCCTTGTTTCTTTTGATTTTTACATTGCATGCATCTTTTGCCAAAAGACTCAGTTTTGTATATCACTAACATAGAATAACACAGATGTCACCTTTGCTATTTGTCTGCTAATAAATCTAATACTAATAATCTCAGTCTCTTTGCATTACAATCTAAAATTAGTTTTTCTTTAAATAATCCAACTAACGACACTAATAATCCAAATTAGTGTATTTTAGTGTATTAACATGCCAACGTTAACGACACTAACATGCCATTAACATGCCAACTAAAATACACTATTAAGAATATTGTATTTGAAGAGGTTTTTTCAAAACGTCTAACAAATAAATTTAAGATTTTATTATATGTTATCGACACTACTAATTAATACTCCGTAAGTATGTAGCAAATTAATTACAATTGATATTGTCAATTAATTTCACCTAATACTTTTTTACTTTTAGTATTTAATATTGCACTTATGTTTTCCGACACTTACTACAATAACTTTATGGGAATAATGTTATTCTTTTTTTAAATTTAAAATATTATTTTTTATTTTTGTATTGAATTAAACTCTGAATTGAATACAAAATATATGCACAACCCCTCTTTACCCCGTGCATATGCAAGGGTACTGTACTAGTTATATGACAAAATAAATACTCGGGTAAAGAGTAATTAAAATTTAAGTGGACAAGAATCAGAACGAACTAAAAAACTTACGGTGCATGGTTGAATATTTTAACTTTCTATCTCTGGAAAATTTTAATTTATTGGTACGTTGCAGGATGTTTTCTTTTGGACTGTTTTCAGTCCCACACCAGATCAGACCAGACCAGACTTCCGTAGTTATCAAATACATAGAGACAGTGGCGGACCCAGAAAATCGGGATCACGGGGTCCCTACTCTAATGTAACTCTAATTAATAAGAGCCCGTTAGGCGATTTTTTCCGGCTTATTAGGTATTTAGGTTTATCAGCTAATTTATTTACCAAACACGTAACTTTTGATTTTCGTGCGTTGAATTGTGTAATAATAAGAAAACGTAAGTTTAGAGTTACTTTTATGGCTGTATTATTGACTTAAGTTACTGTATAAAATCATTTAAACTATCTTTCATACTTTAGTCAATCCAGTCGCTTCATAGTACTCGTATATTTCAGTTGTATTGGTTGTATTGGCGATACTATATTTTTTTCTTTACTTTATTAATAAAATATATTTTAAATATTTTTTCCATAAATAAGTAGAATCAACCAATCCAGTCACTTTAGCCGTAGTTCATAAATTTCAGTAGAATCAGTCAATATAGCCTATTCGAGTATTACCAAACAGGCTCTAAAGGAGCATAATGTTTCATAATTAACGTACATTATGCAAATATTAAGATAATCATCACACACAAAATAAAATTATATATGAAGTATATATTTCGCTCTACAATTCTACAAATGTACCTTCTTAGGTTTCAACATGTTGGTCTTGTAGACAATTAGTCATATGAATTTCACATTTAACAATTATTTGATCCATTTTTTCATTTAATAATGACGAATAATTTGAATTAACGTTTGATTTACTCTCGGTGCTCCAAATTTCTTTAAATCCGGATACAATATCAAAATATGTTTTCATCCTAAATCGCAAAGTTATTCATAAATATCATACATTTAATAATTAATTTTAACAGTCAAACCAATTTTAATAATTAATCCAAATTTTTTAATTATGTAAAATGTAAACTTCAAAATAATGATCTTTCACAAAAATACATTCAAAAAACAAAATTGGGGAACTTGGGAATTGAACCCTATACCTCCGGGGAACGGAAGCCCGTAGTTCCGCAATGCTACCATCCGTCCTCTTCATTCTTTAGTTTTCATACTTTCTCTTCGTGTATTTATACATGCCTTAGTAAATTTTATATATAATATATATAGTAACTTTTTTGAACGTACACGGGTCCCGGGACCCCATGAGACCTTTAGTGGGTCCGCCACTGCATAGATACTAGATCTTTACCAGACCAGACCAGATCAGATAAGGCCAAACCAGCAAATTTCAGTCCAAAAGAAAACATCTGCGGTAGACATGAAGAATTAATATACGACAATTATCACAATTTAATCTTGCAATTAGGAGAAAACTTAACGTGCATGTCTTTGACTTTTTTCCAACTAAAGCCCACTTATAATAATAAGATATGGAGTATAAAATAACCGTTTAGGCTATGATAGGATATTCAATGTAGGAATGTATTAATTTCGAAAAAGTCGTACCCAAGTACGATATTATGTACTCCGTATATATGATACATATACTTACCTACAATACAATTTGAGGGCATCATTATTTTTTAAAAACTACTGGATGCCCGGACTTATTTAATTCCTAATTGAAGGTCTAATTTATTTTCTTCACAATAAGAAATCAAAGTTAAACGTCATTTTTATTGTATTTTAAACTATCAAATAAACTTTGCTGTATAAGTATGAGCAGGAATTGTATTTTGAACAAATAGAGTAGTTGCTATAAAAGTATAAATACAGCTAAATTGTAAGCCAAAATTTAATGAAAGACCAAACCTACTCTGGTATTTGATCAAGGCAGGACCTGATCGACCTGCCCGGACCTCCAGCCTCGCCCGCTGCCGCAGCTTCTTCTGGTAATTGTTCATCCTTTCATCTACTTCCTGGCATTCTACATCCCATGAAAAAGTTTTCATTTGTCTTTTTTAAATTAAGATATATGTCTCAAAATTCAAAAACTTCTTTCTCAAATCATAATCATTCATTTTCAGTTTATTAAGAAGTGGTGTTTCGTGATATTGATATGAAAGTTTTGAAAACTATTATGCATTTTCACTTATATTTTTTTTGAGAACGCATTTTCACTTATATTTGCATTTGTACTTTTTTTTATAAGTGGGTTTTATATTACTCCCTCCTCCCTAACAGGGGTGGAGACAGGGAGGGGCTGGAGGTGGCCACGGCCCCTGCAAGAATTTTTTTTTTAAGTATATATTATGTATAAATACTTTTAATCTGTAGAAAATATGTTGATCTTTTACACTTTGACCCCTGCAATGTAAAATTGTTAAGGACCGGCCCCTTTAACCCTAAATGTCTGGCTCCGCCACTGCTCCCTAAAAAGTTTCACCGTACATCAATCAATGTGATTAGAATCAAATCAAATTTTATTCACAGACAAATTTAATGAAGTGTTTGCATTTGTACTTTTTTTTTGTCTGTGTGAAGGATAAATAAATAGGGTGTACACTAAGCATTATTGATGATAGATTGGACCATGCATTTTGATTTCTAGAGCCAGTTTGGTGACCCTATTTTTTTACTTATAAATTTTATCAAATATCAATCAACTTCTTCATTGAACATGTAAATTTGATTTCACGCTCTAAATTGTGTAATAAATAAGCTAGATAATATTGAAATTACATTTATGACTGGATTGACTGAAATTATTATAGAGAATCATTCAACTACTTTTTCATACAATTTTTTCTTTATTTTATCTATAAAATATATTTTAAATATAATACTTCATATAATTTTTTATAATTTAGCAAAATTAGTCAAGCAAGTAACTTAAAAGTTGTTCTCTTCACCTGATCTGAGTGTTTCTGATCTGAATTTTTTAAGTTCTGATCTGATCTGATCTGAATCTTTTTTATCTGATCTGAATCCTTTTGATCCGGTCTGATATGATATGAATCTTTCTGATTTGATCTGATTTGAATATTTCTATAATTATAATTATTATATTTATATTGTAATTATAAATATAATCATAAATAAAATTATAATAATTATATCTACTATACACTTATTATAATCGTAACTATATTTTTAATTATAATGATTTTTATAATTATAATTATAATAATTATAGTTATTCTGTATAATAATAAGAATAACAATAAAAATAATAGTAGTAATAATAAAATTTAATAGTAATAATAATAATAATAATAATTATAAATTATTATTATTATTATAAAAGTGATAAATCATGTTTTAACTTTTCTCATCCGATTTGAATGTTTTTGACCTGATCTGAGTGTTTCTAATCTGATCATGTTATTTATTTGGTCTGGTCTGAATGCTTCTGATCTGATTTAATCTTTCTGATACGATCTGATAGGAATTTTTCTGATTTGATCTAAATAAGAATAAGCAATAAGTAATTAGAATAAGAGGAACAGATCAGTTTCTTGAGCAAGAACTTCAAAACTTTCAACAAAATTAGTCGAGACTCTTAAAGTAAAGACTAAGGAGGTGTTTACTTCGATGCTAAAGTCACAGTTAGGTTAGTAAGATACGTGAAGTAAACACGCAAGCTGCTTAAGAAGTTGCTTACTAACCCAGAGAGGTGCTTAAAGTATCGTTTACTAAGCATCGCACACCTCCATGTATTAATTAAACGGCACTTTAATCTCACACCTCCATGAATTTACCCTAACCTCTACCTCTTGCCTTTACCCTATTGCTACCCCTCTACGCGCTACGCCCCTAGCCTACTTTACCCCGACCCCACCCCTATCCACCCTTACCCCTACCCTACATATCTACCCCCAGACTACCCCACCACCACTCATACCCCTTTACCCTACCCCGACCCTACCCCTTTACCCCCTACAACCTGCCCTTAACTCGACCCCACCCACCCTGACCCTATCCTTTGCCACATTCCCATACCTCAACCCCGACCCTACCCCTTTACCCCCTAACACCTGCCCCTACCTTGACCCACTCCTACCCCTACCTCAACCCTACCCCGTCCCCCTACTGTACCACCCAACCCTTACCACTCTACCCCGACCATACCTCTTACCCCACCCCCACCCATAAGCCCTTACCATACCCCGAACCTACCCCTTTACCCCATACCACCTTCCCCGACCCCTCTCCTATGAGTAGGGTCGGGTACGGGTATGAGGGTTGTAGGGGAGTAGGGGTAGAAGGTAAGATTGTGGTAAGGGTAGGGGTAGGGGTCAAGGGTATGAAATTGGGGGGTAGGGGTTAGGGGTAGGGGCGGGGTAGGGGTGTGTATGTGCAAACATACGAGGTGACCCCCACATATTATATTATATACTTGTATTCATGGATGTTTGTGTGTCTATACATGTATAGAGTTATTTTGGACTTACGTGAAATTACAACATTGCTTACTTTATACGTCGCTTATTAAAGCGAGTTTAAATAAGCACTGTTTAATCACCCGTGAAGTAAACATGTCCTAAGTTCTCGCTAACAATTCAAATAAATGGCTTATTTAGTCATCGAACAGGTGAAATTCTTATGGGATCAGTTTTTTCTTGATTGGATCGGAAGTCATCGAACAGGTGAAATTCTTGTTACTTTTACTAAAAGTTACTCCGTATTTATTTGTAGTGAATTCATTAATTAATTGCTAGATGTTAAAATGTGGAAACTAAAGCAAATACACCTAAGAGCATCTTCAATGCTAAAACGTTAACGGTGTATACGTGGCATGAGAAATAACCAATAAAAAACAATAAATAGAATATTTCTCTCCTTATTTGAATGATCTTACATCATTTTGGTAAGTTTTTCTTCACAATGTCAAGCACAATGTCTTGATGTAGACATTGTGGTTGACATTGCAGACAAAAATTTATCAAAAACACATAAGACCGTGAGAAAAAAGAAGAGAGAAATGTCATAAAATCAATATTTTGCATGTGTCTATATCTCTCATGCCACATGTACACCGTGCACATTGTAGCATTTGAGATGCTGTAATTGAGTTTCTGGTATTCGTTTGTTACCATGTAGATAAATGAATATGAAAATATGAAAATATGGGATGTGTTTCTAGCAGGAGGAGATCCACATGCATTCTCAGCACCAGAAGAAAGGTGGGATACTAACTTCCTGCCATTTTGAACCTGGAAAATCCACGGATAGAGATCCTCTGCCATAAGGCAGAGTACCTTACTAAAACAAAGGGCAGGGATTAAAACTCAGCCCTAGAGATTTGTGCCAAAAATGGACCCACTCTTTTTAAGCCATTGATATTTTGATCTGATGGTTTAAAATGGCCAAGCACCCTCCTTGGCTGCCTAAGTAAGGCAGAGGAGCTGGATCCGAAAATCCACATGCCGGTGTACTCCAGTTTTCCTAACCCCTTCATCTTCATCTCTCAGTACTCAAGGTGGTTCTTACTAAAACACATCCCACCTTTGCAAGAAGTGGAATATAATGGGGTATCCCCAATAGACTATGAATTTCACCGCAATTCAAAGCCCGTTTGATAATACCAAAATCCGTTGCATCCACCGATTCTGCTAAAATTTATGAAATTCTGGCTAAAAAGATTGGATTGACCGATTCTAGTGATTTATGTAAAATTATATTTAAAATATATTTTATTTATAAAATAAAGAAAAGATTATATGAAAAGTAGCTAAAATGACCATCCACAGTAACTTCAGCCAATGCTGTCAGAAATATAACTCCAACTTTACATTTTCTTATTATTACATAATTCAGCGCGAGAAATCAAAATTACATTTTCTTGATAAGTTGAAAAACATACTTATCAAATAATGAAAGTCAATTTGAAATTTCATAAGAGTTTAAAAACTCGGATATTTGACTGTCCTCCCGATTGGATTTTTATCTGAAATTTTGTATGGGTAAACTAGACTTAATGAAGAAGGTTCTCACAAAAGTTCATCAAAACATTCCACCAGGAACCTCCCCAAATGACGACGTTCAGACAGAACCTCCTATATAAGGGGTGATTTGCACTTTTTTTTTGGTTAGTTCGAGGACTTATTTGCCCCTTTTACCTTATGTTTTTGACAAACTAATTTTAGCATACTCTAGTAGAATTGAAACACCTGAAAAAATTACACTAAATTCAATTTAATGGAATTTATTTTCTATTGTAAAAATAGGCCCTTTTAGAAAATAATAAACTTCGAAGTACTACTCGTTTTTTTGTGTGGAGATTATAGTTTTCTATTTTTTCTCTTATCTTTAGTCCCAGGACCACAAGGCGACTATTCACCATATGTAGATGAAGTTCAAGTTTTGAAGGTATATTTGTAGTACTTTACCGTTCAACTTGTCAAATGAATAGGTAAAAAATGTGAATAAAATAAAATGAATAAGAACGATATATATAATACGGAGTATCAAATATGATTTGATACAAACTTAATAAGATGAACATAAAAGGAAAAATGAGACATTGATAGTCAGAACGAGAAAGTATGGGCCTGTTTACTAACAGAGATATTTTCCTGTTTTCTACTTCTGTTTTTCGTTCTCCAATTTTCTGTTTCTATTTTTTAGTTTTCCATTTTCAAATTTGAAAACATGTTCATCAATTTTTTCACACAGTTCTCCAATTCCACACCCTTGACCCATACCTCTACCCTTACCACGATCTTACACTCTACCCATACTCCACCACAACCCTTCATACCCACCCATACCTACTCGTAGGGGTCAAAGTAGGGAAGTTATGGGTGGGGGTGGGGTAAGGGGTATGGTCGGGGTGGGGTGGTAAGGTCTAGGGGTTGGGGGTTGGGTGGGGGTAGTGGGTGGGTTAGGGTCGTGGTTAGGGTTAAGGGTGGGTAGTGGGTAGGGTTGGGGTAAGGTAGGGGTAGGGTAGGGAGTTGGGATAGGATGGCGGTAGGGTGGGGTCGGGACCAGGGTGGGGGGTAGGATGGCGGTAAGGGTGGGGGGTAGCGGGTAGGGTTTGGGGTTGGGGTAAGGTAGGGTAGGGTAGGGAGTTGGGATAGGATGGCAGTAGGGTGGGGTCGGGACCAGGGTGGGGCCGGGATAGGGAAGGGGTGGGGTGGGGGGTAGGATGGCGGTAAGGGTGGGGGTAGTGGGTAGGGTTTGGAGTTGGGGTAAGGTAGGGGTAGGGGTAGGGTAGGGAGTTGGGATAGGATGGCGGTAAGGTGGGCCCGGGATCCGGGTGGGGCCGAGGTAGGGTAGGGTGGGGGTGGGGGTAGGATGGCGGTACGAGGGTGGGGGTAGGATGGCGGTGGGGTGGGGCCGAGGTAGGAGGCATGTGGTAAGGGGTAAGGTAGGGGTAAGTGGTAATATACTAGGGGTGGGGGTAGGGTAGGGTGGGTCGGGGTGGGGTCGAGGTGGTAGGGGGGTGGCGGTAGGGTAGGGTGGATCGAGGTGGTAGGGGGGTGGCGGTAGGGTAGGGTGGATCGAGGTGGTAGGGGGTGGCGGTAGGGTAGGGTGGATCGGGGTGGGGCCGAGGTCGGGGCATGTGGTGGGGGGTGGGGTAAGGTCATTATAGGGAAAAATGGGTACACGGGGTGGGGGTTGGGTGGGTAGTGTAGGGGTAAGGGGTAAGGTACGAGGATGGAGGTACCGGAATGGAATCGACATCGGAGCGGGACCGGACCCACCACTAGGTGTAAGTATGCAAATTCATTGCAAAGGCACTGTAGCATCTGCGTTTTCCAAATTTGGAAAACTAGTAAAAGTCACTTCTCCAAATCATTAAGGAAAAGAGAGACATGTTTCATTTTTTCCGTTTTGGAAAACGATTTGGTAAACGCGTTTTTCTTTTTTCCTTTCTCCAGTTTTCCAGGAATTTCTTTGGTAAACACGTTTCCTGTTTTCTGTTTTCCAGTTTTCCAGTTTTCTGGAAAACTGGAAAATATTTGTGTTAGTAAACAGGCCCTATCATTTTGAACATTTGAAGTTTATATTTATGAGATTATTTCAAACAGCTTTACACATTCATTTGGCTAGTAATTGATATTGCAGAGGAAGTCTGAAGAGATTAAACCATATTTAAACGGGAGATGTATACATCTTGTTGGTGAGCTCCATTACTAGTATTTGGTATACATAGGAAAATGTACTTTTCATTCAATGTTTGGTATTGCAGTTTTTTCTAAGAAAATAGGAAAGGGAATGAATTTGGTTAAAAACATGCTTTTTCCCATATGTTACAAGATTGAAAAAATGACAAACAAAAATATGATTTTTCATACACAATGTCTATCAATATTATTTGAATCACTCATTTTCTATTCACACTGCTCTAAATATGTCATAGTAGTCATTGTGACCATGCAGTCAACTTTTTTGCTTATGAATTCTATTTTAGTAGTATTGTAGAAAATTATTTCAACTGTTTTTTTTAAAGAATTTATGAAGTTTATATAAGACATATTTTGAAAAATGATTTTGAACAAACATTTAAAATTTATTTATTGTGTTTGAAGCAAATTTTTAAATTTGTGCGATGCTTTCTTTCAATTCTTCCCGAATATATATTCTCCCCATTTTCTTCTAAATTTCATTTCCTTAGCACTTTCTTAGTTCCATTTAAATGGACCCTTAATGTCTGAATTCATCCAAATGTTTGATATACCCATAAAAAAATATCAGGAATGATGGGTTCTGGTAAAACAACGGTTGGCAGGATCTTGGTTGAGACACTTGGCTATTCGTTTCTTGACAGGTTAATCTTTAGAATCTTCAATCTAATTTATGTCATACTAATGGTGAGCTATATTAATTAAGTAACTAATTAATGATAATACAATTACAAATACTTCATTGCTTAAACAACTTCCAACCAATCTTATAATGTTATCTATTTAATATGAATCTTTTACTTTGAATATGCCAGTGATACACTCATAGAGCAGGCTTTTGGCACTTCAAGTATTTCTGAAATATTTAAGAAGCATGGTGAAGGCTTCTTTAGAGACAATGAGGTAAGTAATTCTTAACACACTTCCTCCTTTTATATTAGGCTACCCCATCTTTTTTGTTTTTGAAGAGAATTTTATAAATGAAAGAGCAAAAGAGAGTAAAGGCAATTTGATGATTGGGAAAAAGAAAAGTAAACAAAAAGAGAAAGAAAAACAAAGAGAATTCAGAAGTAAACAAAAACATATACTTATCGTTACTAGTGGATGATTTTGCTCCCTAAAATGACAAAGTGTAGTTTATAGTTGATTCACTGAGATAAGGCTAACCCTTTTAATATATGCTGACAAAAAGTTGTTTCTCATTTTAAATTGGTTCTGTATGTGCCACCATTCTCATCTTATTATTCTTTGTATTTTAGACAGAGGTCTTGCGCAAGCTTTCGTTGATGCGCCACATTGTTGTTTCCACGGGAGGTGGTGCCGTTGTCCGTCCTATCAACTGGTATAGAAATTCAAGTTTCACTTCCACTCTTGATTTTTTGGCATTTTCATTGAAACATGTAAATGCTAGATATTTAGCTAATTAGCTAGGGATATTATCTAAACTTTACTTAGGAAGTATATGCACAAGGGAATTAGTGTCTGGTTAGATGTACCTGTGAATGTTTTGGCAATGAGAATCTCAGCAGTAGGAACTCATTCCCGCCCCCTTTTACCTAATGAATCCGAAGACAATGATCCCAAGGTTTGCAACCTTCAATTTGGATTTTTGCAATGGTTTTAAATTTCTTAAGTTTCAATATTGATTACAAATCTTGAAAGAAAAATAATATTAACAAACTTCCTTCTTTTTGTCTCTCATATAGACTCTGAAATGTTTGTTGACACTTCTTGATGAGAGGAGGGAAGCATATTCAAATGCCAAAGCTAGGGTTTGCATAAAAAGTATGAACCCATTATGTTTCAGTTTTTTTCCATTCAATTGTTGGCCTTCTTAATCTTTTAGTTTCAATCATAGTTTTGTATAAACTGCATTTCCTATAAAAGGATAATTGTGCCAACTATCAGATATTGCTCTAAGTAGGGGCTGCATTGATGTTAGCAATATCACTCCTACACAAGTAGCCATTCAGGTAATCTACATTCTGTCATACATACTATGTCTCAATTTGCAATTTTCTTCATTTATTGTCATACTTCTAAAAGTCGTTTAGAAATCTTAATTTGTCCTTCCACGATGAAACTAATAAGACTTGTGTTATTCATAAGACTTTTGTTATTCCTCCTATTAAGTTGTCCTTTTACGATGAAACTAAAATATTAATTCTTTCTCAATGAATAATCGAATTATGGGTAATAAGGTTTGGTATGCTAACTTAGTCCCACTCATGGTCAGGCACTTGAACAAATCAAAAACCTCTTGAAGAAACAAAGTGTTGAAGTACATCGATCTTCCGAATTGTGTATGTGTTATAGTAGAAGATGCTCTTTGACTCTATGAAGTTACTTCAGGAGTCCAATTAGTTCATAGCTTCTGTGTGTATTTTCTAATTTCTACTACTTTTTATGTATAGTAATCTTTTCCACCCTAAAGATGACATGGTATGTTCCTCAATTAATTGATCTACATCATTGTGGCATAGTTCTCAATATAGTTATGACATTCTTTAATAAAATTTCTGGTTTTATTCAAAAAAACAGTGTTACAGGATGTCTCTAAAGTTTTGAATGATAATAGATCTATGGTTGAAATGATTCATTTGGTACATAGTAAAATACTATCCTATGTCTAGAGTCTCAGTGTCAAACCTAGTTTGATAGTTGTACCAAGTCAGTAAACCCATACTGTATGCACTGATTCACATAATTTATGATGGAGTTAGTGTCACTCAAATAGATCATAAGACACTTGTATCAAACCATAGTGTGTGTAGTGAGTAAGTGCAGTATTGCCATATTTTAAGGTTTTCGGGTCTTTCAACTATAAACTATTCTGAGATATTACAACACAAGTAGAGAAAGTTGAAGAGTAATTTCATGCAACAAGTTCTGTCATTTTTTGGTCTTGCTTACCACCCTCTCCCTCCACACTTTCATGGACATTTTTGTACGTATATCTCTTGGCAAAAAATAGATACAAGCACACATCCAATGTAGTCATTACCGTGATTAGCCAATAGAATTTGTCTAATCGGCTATGGTTCATATCCCTTCCAAACCAACTACCACCACCCTTCTTCGTCACACGATCAACGACTGATATCAAAAAGCTGCTCAAGAAGCTCCCAACTCCAAGCACACTAAGGTAAAATGCTAGCCCCATACTCCTCATAGAATCAGGAACCTGGTGGTAGAAAAACTCTTGTAAACCGACAAGGCTAAAACCGTCACCTATAGAAAGAATCATGTACTGAGGTGTTAACCAGAAGACACTCATTGAGGAAGATGTTCGAAGACTTCTTATCCTTCGAGACTCAACCAACGAGGCTATCACCATGCCCACAATGTTAAGAAACAAACCAATCCCTATCCTTTGGAGAATGGTTATCCCCCTTTCATTCCCCGTTTTCTTTCTCAGTATGGGTACGAAGACCTTCTCGTATGCGATCACTGATAACAACAAACCTAGAGCAGATAAGGCGTAAATGCTTGCTGGGGGGATCTCAAAGTGACCTATGTGTCGGTTCATTGCGGTGCTTTGCTTGACGAAGAAGGTTGAGCCAAAAGACATGCATACTCCCAACATTAGGGAAGATAACCAGATGGGAATCATGTTGAGTACGAGTTTGGTTTCTTCAACCTGTGTGACTGTTGCCAGTCTCCATGGATTCTTTTTTCTAGCTTCTACATCTTGAGGATCGTTACAGGCTTCTACTATTGCAGCTTTGTCAAGAAACCTGCAATGTTAATAGTAATTGTTTATTCTAAGTAGGGTGGACTCATCATAAAACCCAAAGGGAGAGGAATAAGTAAGAACATCAATAAAGTGATTGAAAAATAGGTTGATTATATCACTTATTTTTTTTCTCAACTATATACTTGGTCTCTATTGAGATTGCAAGTTATGAAGAGGTTTGACGTAGATGGCTTTGCAAATCTTGACATTTCTGTGATTTTATAAAAATTGAAAGATTAACATAATAATTTATAATCTACATTTAATCACTTTTCATTTGTTTTTAGAAGATTCAACAGATCTAGATACAGACTAAGCCCTCACCCCCTTCGAAATCCTTTTTTATATTATGTGTCCATTTGCTAGCCAAAATGTCCATTTGTGTTGAAATGAATGTTAACACTTACTATAAGTTTTTATTTTCATAAAATTCACCCTAATAATCCTTACTGAAAGGGTCCTCAACCGATGAGTAATTATTATAAAAAAAATGAGATCGACTCTCTAACTTCATCTTAACTAGACTTTAATGTTTAAAACTATAGCATGAAAGTTTTATGTGTTTTTTGATCATGAAAGTTATATGTTGTTGTGTATAGCTTGTTAGTGTTATTTAAATTTGTTAAACTTATAATGACACTCAATTAAGAATAACTCAAATGGTGTACCTGGCTTGGGTATGGTATATCTTAACATGCCCCGTCAAATGGTACTTCATTAGAGAAAGCAAACTTTCAAGCTGTTGAAGTTTTAGGATTGAATTACTCATTAGAGCTTAATTGACTCTAATAGTCTGATATATTTTTAGGCTTAGAGTTTTATCAAAGTATGAGGGCATGACACAATACAGACTCTGTAGTGAAGGGGTCTATCCAGTTCTTATATGTTATTGGGTTGGCTAGACTTATTTAAACTTAATCTATGGAACTATCATTCGAGATATATTTAAGGTAGTCATGATTTTGAAGGTTTATTGTTTTCTTTACTTACCTGAGGCTATTTGTGTGTGAGAGCAGCCTGACTTTGGGATTCTTTGATTTCTCAACTTCATACAGCAGTTCAGGGGTTAAAGGATGAACCAAATTCCTCTTTGCAATAGCTGCAACTATGACCTGAAACAAAGGTATTAAAGGACTGCCAACTGAAACTCTATATCTGAAAAATGGCCTTCCCAAGTAAAACACCAGTGTTGATAACCCCATAGTGGCAGTAAGAATCACAGCAGCAGCTCCCCAACTAACATAGTCCTCAACATAAGATATCACTGTCACTCCAAGCAACAACCCACAACAAAGTGACACATTCCACCAGTTAAAAAATGACATCTTTTGTTTCCTTTCTTTCGGGTGATCATCATCGAACTGGTCGGCTCCAAAGCTTTCTAGGCATGGTTTGAACCCTCCGGTCGCTAGAGATATTAGATAGATTGCAAGGTAGAACACAACCTGGTGAACTCTTCTTGGTGGCACGCCGCCTCCGCAGTGTGGCACTTCACATGCCTTGAGGTTGGGGATGAATTGTGACATTGTGAGAAGACACAGTCCCTGAAATATTTTAACACATATTGGTTAGAAGGAAGTCATTTTGTGGTGTTCCATCCTAAAAGGTCAAGTTGATAGGAGGAGTAATTCAGATCTGAATATATATAGCACTTAATTCCTTCTTAAGTATCTAGTGTGGGAATTCAACACCCCTTCTCACGACTAGACATTCCTGTTAAAGTATTTGTTCCACGCTGGAAAGCTATAAAACAATAAAAATACTATATAAAGGCTTTGGGCTACTCCTCGTATCAGGTTGACCTTTTAGGATGGAACCCCGGGTCTTAGCCTGGTTAAGGCCTAAGGGTCTGTTAGCATACTTGTTTAGCACTCATGATTAAGGGTAGCTTGTTAAGGGTCTGCTTGACTCATTTATACACCCTAATATTGTTCAAACCAGGCTGAGGGGCGTGTTAAAGTGTTTTTCCCACACCGGAAAGTTATACAATAATAAAAAAAACTATATAAAGGGTTTGAACTACTCCTCCTCTCAAATTGATCTTTTATAATCGTGTCAATCTTTGTTCATATTATGATCTAGTCTGATGTGTTTCGCTCTTACTGATTTAATGGTAAGGATTGTGGGAGAGGGCACCTACCATAAGGTAGAAGATAGAAGAAAATACAATCATGGAGAAGCGACCGGTATAGGAATCAGCAAGGAAACCTCCCACCAATGGCATTATGGTAGTGACACCCGTCCAATAATTTGAATTCTTAGCAGCTGTTTTCAGGTCATTGTGCATTACTTTGGTTAGGTAAGTTATCAGGTTCGTTGCTATGCCAAAGAAGCTAAGTCGTTCTGCAAACTCGATTACTTCATACAAGCATCCATCCGAAAGAGCATGAAAAAAGGAAAGAGATCAATTAATAAATTGTGATACATGAAATAGTGAAAAGAAAGAATTGACAAAATATGTGCTTGTTTGGTTAGAGGATTCTGGGCAATTGACATTTGTCAATTTATCTCCATTTATTAGTTTTATACATGAAATTAAAAACAAGAAAAATAATAAAATACTCCAAACTTTGATGGGGTGTGAAGTAAACACCCCAAACATGCGTATGTAATTTTATAACCAAAACTTTATATAAAAAGTTATTTTCGCACCATTGTCATGTATTATTTCTCTCAAAAATGTAAATTTATGGGGTTAATTGTATAATTTAAAATAGCAAATTAAAAGTGTTGCAATTATATATATTGGGGGTAACATTATTTATTTTGTAATGGAAGTTTACGATGTTAATCGTGTCTTCATGAATCCTAAAATATTTTCAATTATGCAATTAACATCATAAATTTACATTTTGAAAGAAATAATACTTGATATAGTGCCGAAACAACTTTTTCTATAATGTTTGAGTTATTTAAAATACATATGCAAGTTTGGGGTGTTCATCTCACCCTTCAAAGTTTGGGCCACTTTAATTATTTTTCCCTATTAAGATCTAATTAGTTAAGTGATACAAAGTACTTGTTATAGCCCAAAACATTCTTCCAAGTATTACATGACATGAGTTTTTTAAAAAGTGAAATTATATAATTATGTTTGGTATATTTTTTTTCACTTTATTGTAAACAGTGGAAATGAAAAATAGTTTAAAACATAAGCATCAACCCTCCCAATAATGATCCTCCATTTGGGTAAGTGTTACACTCATTATCTGTTAGCATGTGATAATAGTCTAAATTAAACTCTCTCAGTTGTTGGTATCATCCTTTTTTTTATCTTCCACATTGACCCACCAAACAAGCTTTTAAGCATTGAAAACTATACCAAAAAAGTAATGTGTATTCAAAAAATACTCTTTAGAAACTTATTTGCCCAAAAAAGATGGTTCAAAGACTTCAAACGCGTCCAAAATCATACAGCTCAACATGCACTTTTCCCTTCAATAATGATAGTCGATCAAAAATCCGTAACCAATTGTGAGAGTAAGGGAGTGTTTGCAACAGCTTCTGCTTTAAAAAAAGCACTTTTGGGGTGATTTGGAAAAAGTGATTAGTTGTAAAAGTTGATAGTGTTTGAGAAAAAAGTGATTTTGAAAAGTAAAAGTTGGTAGTGTTTGCTAAAATAAGTGCTTTTGGTGTATAAAAAGGGGAAAAGCACTTTTGACACGAAAGCCGAGAAAAGTAAAAAATTGGTAGTGTTTGGTAAATAAGTGCTTTTTAAAGCCAAAAGCTGAGAAGTGCTTTTCTTAAAGCTGTTGCAAACCAGCCCTAAATCATTTACCTAGTACTCCCTCCGTGACTCCGTCCCTGAATTAATTTTTATTTTGCTTTTCGAGAGTCAACTTAAATCACTCTTAAACTTTTACTTTATATATCAAAATTTTATGAAAACTGAATTTCTTTTTCAAGCTTTGTAGCGGTTTTAAAGTAGTTTCTGAATATGTAAATTTTATTTACTAAAAATAATCTGAGTTTTTACAGAAATGATTTAACTTTATCGTTGGTCAAAATTGGTAACCCGCAATGGGAAGAAATTCAGGGACAGTAAATTCAGGGATGATTTAACTTCACAGGGAGTACCTGATAACTAGCACTCTCATCGGGGACCATCCGCCTACCCAATAACACATCCCACCAGTTCAGTTACCTATTTTACCCGTATGGGTTTAATTGGATAAATTAGTCCTATTGAGCCTAATAGGTAATTTCAGGGACCACGTTGGACATGATGTTTGTGGTACTCATATACTTCGTAAATTGGCTAGAAAAATTAGTATACAATTTGTACACAAGCAATATACTCCCTCCGTCCCATTTATATTGTCCCGTTTTACTTTTTCGGGAAGTCCCACTTAAATTGTCTCATACCATATTTGGCAAAGTTTGTGTGGCTCTAAATCATTCTTACTTTATTCTTACTTTATCAATTAATAACAACCACACAAACCCACTTTTCTTAATAATCGTACCACTCTCTTCCGTCTCAATATAAATGGGACGGAGGTAGTAGTTGTTTATATACACATGCAATTCTTCTGGCTCTCATACTGTGTATTTCTTTTTTGGAGGTCTAAATTCAATATTTTTATTTTTATTTTAGTAAACCATTAATACTCACAATTTAATGATCAAATATTAAAAATAATGCATTTATAGCATTAAAGTTATCATCAATGACCTCATTATATTATATTAGTACTAAATATATCAATCAAATTATTTTCAAATATATATTTAAATGACATTATTTAATTATTATCTAAATAACTGCGTCATTTTGTAATGGAAACCTTTAATGGGCACAAAGGTAATACAAGTATTCAATAACATTTCGTATTTTCAAAACTCAATTTTTTAATTCTAAAGCACATATTTCAAGGCCAAACATCTTGTGGTTCGATGACATCACTTTGACACTCCCAAGGAGGAGGTCACATGTTCGAAACTCATCCAATCAAGGATATTGACATTTAACAATGAAGTATTGAACAGATACTATAAAGAGAGACTACAAGTCTAACAAAAAAAGCGCGCATATTTCAAGAGTGTAATAGTGGAAGCAATTGGTAAATAAATAATGAGCTATGCTACGGTGTACACATTTTGATGTACATCTTTCGTATACTCGTCTCATCGTCTGTCTTGCACATTAACAATTGTATGTTAATTATTGTAAAGTTTTTCTCCACAACCGACGGCTGGCAATCGATCTAGATGAGCAATTACTATTATTTTATACCCATATCTTAATAATAAATGCGTGGAGAAATTAAAGATCCATCTACTATTCCACCAAGATCAAGTACACGAAGTTCTTATTAATGTATGACCGTATGAATTGAATGACAACTGCCAAACTGAAATACGGAGTATGTACTTCTTGCTTATACTCCGTATTATACTTCGTGAACACTCATATTTTGAAATTTTACATTTTTTTTACTTTATTAACATGAGCAATTTCTTATAATTATTGTCATTATGAATGCATTAGTGCACTCTCTTGTTCATTATTGTTAAGCTCAAATAAAAGAATCTTGATAATATTATTGGTTAATAAGTTCAAATCAATCTGAAACTTATGGTTAATTTAAGAAGAAATAGGAGTTATAAAGGGAAGTAATTAAATAAAATGAGGATCGAAGAGATGGAGTCGTTTTGAGCAAAGTTTTGAATCAAATGATGATCGAATTAAAGTAGCCAAAGTACTAAAACAATATATATTTCAGTAATTAGATTTTAATTAATTTAATGAATATATATGACATATGGATGAAAGAAAAGTAAATATTATGAAAAAAAAAAAAAAAGCAGAGCTAGCTTAGCTTATTACATACTTATGATGAAGAAGGAAGCTTTCCAGACACCAGTTGAAGCTCTGAGAGGAACTTCACCTCTGTGATCCACTGAGGAATCATAAACCCTCTTCTGGGTTTCTTCTCCATCTCCTTCTTCCCCATTCATCTCTCCCCTTTTCATACTTTAGTCTTTGCTAAATTAAAGTCGGTCTTTAATTTAATTTGCTTCCACCCGGCCAGTCATTATTGTATAATAACTTCAGCTTCTCATCACTCGATAAAAAGCAGAGATATTAATACTACGAGATTTGTGTGTTATTGCCACCAAACTAAAGCTTCTAGTTGTGGTTGATCACGCAAAGACTCTCGGCCTCTACGCAAGCCCAATTTATGTACAGTATTTGATCATGTAATTTAAATTAAAAGGTGGGAGAATTTGACTTTGCACCATATTTTGTAAAAGTTTTGATTTTGCACCCCATCATATAACATTTTGTGGATACAAATTTCTGAATGGGGTGCAAACTCAAAGGATTATTAAGTGAAATGAGATGCAAATTTAAAGTTTTTTTAAAACGGCGTGCAAAGTCCAATATCACCTAAAAGGTGGGGTGTAAAGTCAAATTATCCCTTTAAACATTTGCATCTCTATTTTTAATACGTAGTATAAACATAAATTCCCCTAGCCTTTAGTTTTTCTTTCTTTTAACATTTTTATAGGAGAAATCTCTAGGAGAAAAACGTTTTGGAATTTTAAAACAAGAGTTTCATGCATGTGGTATGCTTTTATTCTCTAAATATGAGTAATTAAAAAGTTATTACTTGAACTTAGTACAGACCAGACTTCAACAGACTACATTAGATCTCGATTGTTGTAAATTACATAGAGACTAGACATTCACCAGATCTAATCAGACCAAACCAAAAGAAATCCAGTCCAATTACAAACATCCCTAACAAGTTAGTGCTAAGCTTGACAAATACACATGCGTAAAATCTGATTATGTCAAAAAATGATAGTTTTTTTTAATCGTCAAAAAATGATAGTTATTACTTCTATTTAGAGCCCGTTTGGAGAACTCTGTTTTCGGCTTATCAGTCTTATCAGCCAGCTTTTTCACCAAACACGTAACTTTTACTTTCGCGCGCTGAATTGTGTAATAAGCCGAAAAAGTAAGGTTGGAGTTACTTTTCTGGCTGTATTGGCTGAAGTTACTGTAGAGGACCATTTTAGCTATTTTTACATATAATTTTTTCTTTAATTTATTAATAAAATATATTTTTAAAATATTTTTTTCTTAAATCAGCAGAATCAGCCAAAACAGCCACTCCAGCCAGAATATCATAAATTTCAGCAGAATCAGCCAAAACAGCCGATTTTGGTGCTACCAAACGGGCTCTTAGTGTATGAAATCATTGTAGTTCTATTTCCAAATTGAAAAACCAATTTCCTCCTATTTAAAACAATTTCTAATTTTTTTATTTTTGATTGTCTAAACAATAACGGTCGGTTTTTACAATATACTCCGTATCAATTTTGTGTAGTTTATTCTACGTATTAGTTTTTCATTTTGCACAAATCTTATCCATGAAATTTCCATTTTGTACCCCGTGTAGAAAACATAATTGGCAAAAAAAGTTAAAAAGTATGATTGGAGGAAGTAACTTAAGTCAATGCATGCTACGTAGCATAGTATACTATGCTAGTAAATCATGAACTATGTGCCTGTTCTATCCACCCTACGTTTTCACCTAACATTTGTGAATGTATTTTAGATAACATTATTTATTAGTGTTTTAAAATGCATTAAGAAATTACTAGTAGGGGTGTTTCTCGGTTTGGTTTCGTCTGTTTTGATCTTATCGGTTCGCTTTTAGCGGGTTTCGGTTTTCAGTCGGTCAGTTTTGGATGGTTTCAATTTTTAATCGGTGGGTCTTAGCGACTTTTAGAATAGATGAAACTGAGAATCTGACCGGAAAAATTGAGACAATTTCAATCAATTTGTATCGTTTTCGATCGATTTTAGTTGTTTTGCCTCATTTGGTTAATCTATTTTTTGTTTGACTGGTTTTGAAGCAAAAAATATGAACCGTATATTGAATAACCAATGAATTAGTCACTTTCGATCGGTTTCGATTTTATCGGTTCAGTTTTGGTTGATTTCGGTTTTAGTCGATTGATTTCGGTTTTCGATGTTTTTGTTCACCCCTGTGTACAAGTACTAATGTTTAATAGACGATTTTTTGTCACATTGTAATTTCTTAAATTCTTAATCCATTAGACACTCTATATTAACATTCAATCTGCAGTCCATCGTCTACGGGTATGAACCCTGAAGTCGACAGTGATGAAGTCACTCTTGTTCCAAAGTGTTCACATGAACACTCAAATTTTCAAAAATTATGTAGGTATATATGTGCATATTTAGTACTCTGTACGGTTAAGATTTGTTGTTTCATCCCTAAAGATCAACCTAATAGGAGGACTAATCCAAAGCCTTACATAGTGTTTTATAGTTTTTCGGTGTGGGATAAATTTTTAACATGCCCCCTCAAACCGAAACTAACTATATGGGGGTATATAAGTGAGTCAAATAGACTCCTAACAAGTTACCCTTTTAATCATGAGTGCTAAACAATCAAACCACAATTGGATTTGGCTCTATGACCATCATAACACTTGAATTCAATTCTAAAAGGTCAATATGATTGGAGAAGTAACTTAAAACCTTATATAATGTTATTATTCTACAATTTTTCGGTGCGGGACAATTACTTTACCTATTAGAGTGGGCTTTGCTATAAATCGTGTGTATTTAATTGTACATGGGCTAAGGGCTCAATTTCATTAAAGTTAGCAACTTGTACTCATATAAATAGATGTACTCGGCTCCTTTGTACAGCAAGAGAAAGATTTTACCTAATAAAGTTTTATTCTTCCCTAAAATATAGCATGGTATCAGAGCAGTAAGGGGAACCGGTGCTGCATCTTCTTCGCAGACCTCTGCCGGAAGCACCAGCGTGCTAAACGCCGATTTGCGGGATGACGGACCCTACTTCTGCCTATTATTTGGGACCCGGAGATCAACCCGGCAACCAAATTACCCATGTCGTGTTCAAGGGTGACAACTACGTTTCCTGGTCGCGAGCCATTACTCTGGCTTTGAAGGCTTGCCGGAAACACACGTTTGTTGACGGAACCATGAAAAAACCTACTGATGAAGCGAGATTGTCCGACTGGGAGACGGTCAATTCCATGATCGTCTCATGGCTGGTGCGATGCATGGACCCGGCGTTGGCAGCCTCGATTCCGTTTCATGACGAGGCACGAGCTTTGTGGGTGTATCTGGAAAATCGTTTCAGCGTCGCCAACGGCCCAAGACTGCAGCAACTTCGTGCCTCCATCATGGGCCGCTGGCAGACGAAGTCAATGAGCGTGGACGCATATTACACAACTTTGATGAGTTACTACGACGAATTGAACCGTTTAAAACCCCTTCACGTGTGTACATGTGGTCGATGTACCTGCGGTCTTGCCGCCAAATTTGCCGCCGACCGAGACGAAGAACAATTGCATCAATTCCTGGTCGGAATTGATGATGAAGTGTACGGAACTGTGCGGTCTAATCTCCTCTCGCATACCCAGTTACCGGATTTGAACAGAGCTTACCAAGCCTTCTTGCAAGAAGAAAATTCTAGGGCTGTTGCACGTGGGAAGGCGGCAGAAATTGACACCCAGGCTTTTGCACTCCAGACGGACAGGCCAGCTAAAGGAAAGCAGGAGAGGACTGATCGCACCAAATTAGTTTGTACACATTGCAAGAAAAAGGGCCATGACATTGGGTCTTGTTTCAAACTGTTGGGCTATCCAGATTGGTGGGAGAATAAGAACCGGCCCAATGATGCAACTAATGGCCATGGAGGGGGGGTCAAAACCCACGCCGTGACTACTTCCGACGTTGGCACTTCCTCTAAGGCCGAAACAACGGGGCTGCCCGAATTAAGCAAAGAGCAGGTTCAAGCTTTGCTTAATTTAATTAATACCGAAACCCGCTCATGTGATCGTATGTCAGGTAAGTTTGACTGGATTATTGATACGGGTGCATCCCATCATGTTACTGGTGATATATCATGCCTCACAGATAGAACTATTATTGGTGCACGGTTGGTCGGACTGCCAGATGGGCGCAGTGTAGCGGCCATGTTGGAGGGGCGGGTTCACCTCACTAAAAATCTTATTTTGGAGCACGTTCTTTATGTTCCTGGACTGACGTGTCACCTTATTTCTGTATCTCAATTAATTTATCAGTTTGCATGTTTAGTTACTTTCACTGATTCATTTTGTGCTATACAGGACCGTCCCTCGAAGAGCCTGATTGGAGCCGGTGAGAGACGAGATGGGTTGTATCTTTTCTGGGGGGTACCTGTGTTGCATGCCATACACACTTCAGCTTTGCCTGCGTTTGAATTATGGCACCGTCGCTTGGGTCATCCTTCTGATCGTGTGATTAAATTATTACCTGCTATTAGTACTAGTTCATCCATCAAACGTTTGAATAAACCTTGTGAGGTGTGCCCACAAGCCAAGCAAGTGCGTGACTCTTTTCCTGTCAGTACTAATAAAGCAAGTAGAATTTTGGAATTAATTCATTGTGACTTGTGGGGTCCTTACAAAACCCCTTCTACTTGTGATGCTACCTATTTCATGACTTTAGTTGATGATTATTCTCGTGTTGTGTGGGTTTATTTGCTTCGTGATAAGACAGAAGTATACCGTTTTTTTCTCTCATTTATTGCTATGATTGAAAAACAATTTGAAGTGTCGGTCAAGACAGTTTGCAGTGATAATGGAACAGAGTTTAAATGTTTGCTGCCCTATTTTGAGCAACGTGGCATCCTCTTTCAAACCTCATGTGTACACACACCTCAACAAAATGGTAGGGTGGAGCGTAAGCACCGCCATATTTTAAATGTGGCTCGTGCACTCATGTTTCAGGCTAATATTCCACTTCATCTCTGGGGTGAATGTGTGCTCACGGCGGTTCATCTTATTAACCGCACACCCTCGGGACTCTTGGAGGGTAAAACACCCTATGAAATTCTTACTGGGAAGACGCCAGATTTCCAGCAGCTGCGTGTATTCGGGTGCTTGGGGTTTGCTCACAACTTAAAAACCGGTGGGGATAAATTTCTTCCACGAAGCAGGAAATGTGTTTTCATTGGGTATCCTTCTGGCAAGAAAGGATGGAAGATGTTTGACTGGTCTACAAGGGATATTTTTGTCTCCAGAGATGTCCAGTTTCATGAGGATGTGTTTCCTTTCTCGGACACCCCTCCCGATTTGTCCGATGCTACACCTGCCCTTGACTCTTCACTCGATGCCCCCACTATTCTTGACATGGCAGATGAAGTTCCTCCTGATTCAGCTATTGTGCCCAAAC